GTCCTCGAGCATTTCGCATTGATCCGATCCCGTTATTGTCTTCCATCTGTAAAATTTTTGCCTTTTTTTTCGACTTTTTTTCTTCTTTTTCATCAGATTGTTTTAAAAGAGACTTTGCGTTTAGTTGTGGTTTGTCCCTCTAACTCTAAACTATTGTGGTCTTTTGGAGCTTTAATTGCTCTGCTTCAGTACTTTTGTTGTTTTTAACAAACTTTTTTCTTCTCGAATCTGTGATTTATCTGTCTATGTATAATAGACACACTCTTCTCGTTTCTTCCTTCCCATGTGAACAGAGAATGAAGCATAGAATTGATTTTTCTTTTCAACCAAAAGAAACAGAGAATTAAGTTCGAACACATGTCTTTTGGTCAGACCACTTAAATGAGCTTAATTAAATTCAAAGTTTCTCACTGTTCTCAGGTATTTCTCCAGTTCCACAATAACCTTGATAAATCATTTTTTTAATAAAGAAAATAAGCTTCTTTTCTTGTGAAGAAAGCTCTGGTAGGTTAATGCAGTTGGAAACATTGTTGGGTCTAGTTCTGTAAATGAGTATATCTCAAACAATGTATATATATAGTCAACATTCTTAAATTTTGATCTAGTAATTCAATAAAATTGAGTTTTGTTTTTACCGGAAATTGCTACTTTAAGACCAACCACGAAAGGAAGTAGATATATATAGTAGAATAATAAGCGTTAGATGATTTAAATTTGGTCAATACTTGGAAAATCCACAACTAACTTTTTTGTGTTTAAGCTATTAGAGAGTCTAGCTATTTACTCACGAGTGGACAGAAAATACTTTTAGTGACTTGGAATATATTGTGCTATTTGATAGAAAACATTTATTTCCATGAATTTACACGTAATTTTGAAAGAGAAAAAAAAATGTGTAAAATTGTTTGTCTTTCATTGAAACATAATTTTTATTTTTATTTTGTATATATGAATCTTCTAACTACTGTTAGTTGAAAATTTTCAATTTGCTAAAGTTACCTACTGACACTTCATATTTAAGCTAAACATCACCAACT